CCGAAGTAGGAAGGCTGGAGTTCTCAGCAGCACCATTCTGTTTCCACCTCCCTCTTTGATGGAGGATGACTTTGAGAGGGAGTGAATTCAGAAGTAGACTGGAAGCATATTCTGTGGCCTATATACTGATTTATGCCTTATTTGGTTTTTACCCTTTAATTATACTGCATGTTAGTTTCCCTTTTTTCCATGCCTCCCTATTGATGCCCCTCCTCCTCCTTTCTTGTTTTAATTATTTCATAGCAATAACAGCTGGAGGACCAAGCAGACACAGGGTGTGCTAACCACTGTTTATTCTTCACTTCATTTTTTTTGCATATTCATCTTTCCCTCTGTAGCTTTCTCTTCTTGTTTCTTTATGTCTGTGGTTGATCTCTCACATGCTTGAGTTCCTGTTTACTGTGGCCCTGCTTGTGTTTGTGAAAAATCCTTGTTGATTTGGGTACGTTTCTCCTGACAGCAGCACTGTTCTCACCTGCTGGCATTCTTTTTTTTCTCTCTTTTAACATCCAAGTTGCCAGGTAAATATATGCTTCTGTTAAATTCTAATACAGAGTTACAGGCTCTACTCTAGACTGTATTGATTGTTGTGTACATATTAACAGTGGAGTCCTGCCAAAAAAGTTTAGTTGCCATTGAGACAAGGTGTACATTTCTAAAAATCAGCTAAGCTCAATTTTCAGTATTGAAAAAGAAACTTAACTACTGACTTTCAATGAAATACAGGTGGGTTTCTTTACATGCTTTAGTTGCTTTAGAAACACTTCTCCAACAGGAATGAAAATATGAGTAAGGGTTATGAGAACAGCATGCAGTGCAGTAAAGCCATTGCTTCAGGGCACATCTCTCCCACTCACTATAAGCGCATGACCAACTGTAGAATACCGGTTGGTTTTAACCACTGCTAAAAAGGAATATGCCAGGTATTGTACAAGATAATTAAAGGGCAGGGTTCGTATTCTCAGTAATCTAGTCTTGGACATGATGCAAAAAATCAAGTTAGTAAAAATGGTAGGGAGAAAAAGGACAGAGCTGTTAATAAGGTTGTGCACTTGCATGTTTTAGGTGTTTGCAGGCCTTCATGGATCTTCTAAATGAATATTTTTTTGACACTTACAAACTGACTTATAGCCCATGGAATACAATTAAGTTTTTGAAAGAGATCTAGGTGAGGTGGGATCTAAAGTTGTAGAATGAAACAATATCTGCAACTTAAGCATGTGAAAGTTACATACTTTGATAACTTCATCATGTATAAATAAAAAAAATTGCAACATTTTGTTTTCAACTTGCTGTGTTGTGGTACTTGTCAGTATATTCACTGCAATTCTGGTGATGCTCCAGCTATAGGGACAAAGGTCAGGCCTCTAATGTTTTAGAAAGCTTGTCCTCAGAAGAGACATGAACTCACACACACAGAAGTTTAGGGCTGGAAGGGACCTTGTGAGATCATCCTTTATCTGTCACTGAGGCTATGCTGCAGAGATGCAGTGTGCGCTTCTCCCCTACCCTGTTGCCCTGGTTTTGCTTTCCCTACTCTATTTTTTGCATTGTCTTCTCTAGTTATGAATTGGCAAACAAATTGTCTGTCTATCTTTCTACCTGGGGAGAGAGATTACCAGCTGTAACAGTTCATGGCAGATGTGTGTTAGATTTTGGAGCTTCCTGTGCCAGGGTGGAATATTAAAATCTTCCTTATCCCTTTTTCAAAGACATTAAGTTTGGTCAGGTGCCAAGTTCCTATTGAAAGCCTGTGGAAGTTAAGTGCTTTCTTGTAGTTTGTGCCTTTTGAAATGCATACAGCAGTGAACACAACTTCTCCAGTGATTCTCAACCAGGGTGCCTCTGTCAAGTGTGCAAACATGATTCACAAGATAAAGCTAGAGATTTCAAACAGGAATCCACAGTGTTAAAAACATTCTGATCTGCTGGGGTCTTTCTAAAACACTTTGCAACAGAAAATTGCTCTATTATTTTTCTGTAATCAAAAAATGAGTGGAAACTAAGCTAGCATTGTCTGAAGGGTGCCTTGAATCTAACAAGGAGTAGCTTGCATCTGAAAAGATTGAGAATCACTGATCTAGGTTTTTCTATGCTTGACTTTCTACTGCCATGCTCCTATTAAAAATAATGTAGATGCTGCACTGCCATATCACCTGCAGATGATTCAAAAAACAGTAATGAGTTAAAAACTGTTAAGAATTTGAATCAATTTTTTTCTCTGTCCACAGAGTGAAATTATTACCTTTAGAGGATACCCCAGTGAGGAATATGATGTAATGACTGATGATGGATATATCTTAAGCATTAACAGAATTCCCCATGGGAGAGGAAAATATGGAAGGAAAGAGGGTAAGACAGATTTCTGTTTGGGGGCAGGGGGAGGAAAATCTTGAAAAAGACTGCTAATTATTCAGTTTTGAGTCCTATAAGGTGGCTGAAAGTAAAATGTAGGTAAGTATTAGCAGTTACTTACAGATGAAAAGTACAGCATAGAGATAGGTAGAAAATGTTCATGTTCCCATATTGCAGAAATTCCTCATTTACTTTGAAATATTTTATTTATTGAGATAACCGTTTCTCTCTTTCTCTGCTTTTTCCCTTCTTTTTTGCTAAAAGAAACGTTTGAGGTTTTTTAAAACTCACTGTACTTTCTAGCAGGAGATTTTTTTTTTAACATTTCATTCTTTTAAAGTCAAATTTTTATTTTCCAGGATACTGACCAATGCTTGGAAGTAGTGACAGGTTTGGTTTTTTTATTCCTGTTTGGATGAAGAATAATTAATTCTTGAGGGGTGCACTAATTCCCCTCCCTACCCTCAAAAAAATTGCTTCACATTCTGTATGGAGATGGGAATTTAGAATAGTAGTTGGATAGTTTTTTTTTAAGCTCTGGCAGTCTATTCTACTTGCCCCTTGTAGTAAATTTTGATAAGCCAAAATAAAATGATACACCACATTTACCCAAAGATAGCTTTGACTTTAAGGCAAGCTCCCAATAATTAGATTCTAGACATAGAATATATATGCATTTGTTATAATTTTCCATGAATAGAATTGTTCCCTTGCCACTACAGTAGCAAAGGGGCTCATGGTGGGGGGCAGATGGCAGGGGAGTCAAGTGCCTGGCCCCCCTACTGTGGTGCCTCTACCTCTACTGACTGAACCCCTGTCCCTGCCATTTACCCCTTCTAGGTGCCTATGCCCTCCCATGGACTTGCCTCTGCTACTTTGACCGCCCCCTGCCCGCATGTCTGCACCCCCTGGCACCTGCCACCCTCTGCTGCCTGCCTGTACCTGCTTGGCCCCTGTGCTGCCTGCCCCTGCTGCCTCCCTCAAGTCCTGCCGCCACTGTTTACCTTCCCATCACAGATCCACTCCAGCTCCAGCCCTGAGCATGGGCCACAGAGCATATGCTGGCTCCAGCCCCAACTCAGCCTCACAACAACAGTTGAGGTTGTGGCAGCTCTTTCCCCAGAGAGCAGCAGCCTGGGCTCATAGTTAGAGGCATAGCTGCTGCCTGCCCCCTGCTTGTATTTGAATCCAAGGGTAGGGGCCTTTTTTCCAATGTTGAATGGGAGAAAAAGCCTCCTCTTAGATTTAAGTAAATACTGTATTCGGCTGTACTCAGTAAATTACTGTAGCACCATAGTCACAATTCTGAATGAATTTAGCAACACAGATGGATGTAATATATAATACAAAGCAAGATGTCCATTGGATGTTGGTGTCCTCACACAAAGGACTTTTCTTTTTTTTTTCTTTTTCTTTAAAGAAGGGGCTTGAAGGAAATGGAGAGTGGCACATGCTATGGAGAAGCTGTTTCAAGATGTATGGGGTAGAATGAAAGAAGGTATAAAATTATGTGGGAGTAAGGGAGTGTTCAGGGCGAAAAATGCAAGGAGTTGGAGGGTATTTAGGAAGAAGTGTGAGCAAAGGTCTTGGCAAGGACTAATTTATGGAATATTTTGAATAGAAGTCTGAAATGTGTGGAGGAAGAAAAACACAACGCTCTGACCTATTACATTACTACATTGTGGAAACTAATAGGGTTGTTTATCTGAAGCAGAATATTGGGTTCAGCCAGCATCAGGGGATACTAAGTATCACTTGGACAAGTCCATATACTGTTGCACATGTGCATCTTCTGGCTGTTTCCTTGCAAACTGCATGTATATCAGAAGACTGAATTGGGGTCTGTTATACTTAAAAATCTGAAGATGCGATGTGTATACTTGCATCATTCTGTGGGAAAAGAATGATTATATCTTAAAACATTTAAAATTATTTTATGTCATATGTTGGAGCTTATTTCATCACAGAAGCCCCCCAACAATGTTTGAGTAAATTCCTTTCTGACCTTGATAGCTGATTCGATATCTTAAGAATATTTTCAGTCTCAAAAAGGATAAGTCTACAAAGTTCAATGCATGAAGCAAGTTAATATTATTACTTGTACTTTAAAAATTCTGAGAAGTCCACAGAAAGAGCTAGAACTCTGTTTGTGCAGGGTCCCTGTACTGAATCTCTGAGTGTAAGCAAATGTTTACATTGCTGATATAAGCACATAGTTTCCTGTGGGAGTGATTGATTTTTCCCTTGACCCTCTGTGTCCACCCCAAGTTCACGGCTTGTAAAACTACTTGATTTTAAAAACAAAGATTACCAAACAACTCTAGGGGAATATTGTTTCCTATTGAAAGAATGAGGGCTTCAAAGTTCATGTTGATTTTTAAAACCTTATAGACGTGTTATCTTTTCCCTGACAGATACCAATGTGTGCTTACTGCATGTGTACATATATTTCATAATATTTGCCATTGCAATCTGCTTAATATGAATGGGATTAATTGCAGTTATGAAGTGTGCACTTTAAAAAAAATAATGATCCACAAAAATATATAGTTCTGCCTCTGCAAAAGTTGTAGGAAATTTTGGTGAGCACTGGCTTTCCACATGTTAACGAGAACTAAAAATCCAAAGGACCGTAGGTGAAAGGAGACTCTTAAAATAAAGTGGTCTTCCCCATCCTTTGTTTCTATCTGCTATAATGACTTGTAGTTCTAAATTCTGATTCTGTTTTCCAAGAGGGACAAGTCTATGAAACCTGCTAGTAAATGGTTCTGTTAGCTAATTAAGAGTTTTCTTTATTCATTTATTTGCACCATTTCCCTTTTAAAATATCTTGGTTTGCCCATTTCCCAAAACTGAGATCGATTTCAATTCTACTTCCTGAGATTTAACTTAGACACTTACAAGTTGTTTTATATGCAAAACATTAAACGGGGAATGAGAGCAAAATGTATATGAAGAGAAGATTATTCTGAAATAACAGTCCTTTATATTAAAAATAAAGGTAGCCATAATATTGAAATGCTGCTCATTGGGAGCTGTCACTGATTCTATTGGCTTTGATGGACTCAGGATTTCGCTCTGTGTTTTTATCTAAAACTGATGTATATATCTTTCATGGATTGGGGTATAATGTCTGTTTTGTATTGTTTCCATGTCAGTAATGAATGTCTGGAGTTTTCAAACCTATTTGACATGCCAAGAAACTTGTAAAATGACAGTCTTGCTGCACTAGATTGCCATAGCCAAAAACTAAATGATAGAGGTTTGAATAAACAGCTTCTACAGTTTTAATGGTTGTCTTTTCACTCTGACATGAGAAAGAGGCTTTAGAAAGTTTTTTGATATTTTAGTGTTCCTGCCATCTTATTTTGTGGGAAGATATAGTTCATCCACAGATAATACCAAATTATGGGGTAAAGTAAACACACTGGTGGGCAGGGAATGAATCCAGGCAGACTTGGACAGGTTGGAGAAGTGGGCAGAACAGAATAGGATGCAATTCAAGAAGGACAAATGCAAAGTGGTGCACCTAGGGAGAAGGAATCGCCAACATACTTACAGGCTGGGAGATGACTCTCTCAGTAGCACTGTAGCAGAAAGGGATCTCGGGATCATAGTTGACTCCAAGATGAACATTGGTCATCAGTGTGATGAAGTGATCAGTAAAGCTAACTGCAGTTTATCATGCATTAGCAGGTGCATCACAAACAGGTCCAGCGAGGCAGTGGCAATGTGTTGGGGGGTGCATGGGGGTACACATGCACCCCCTGAGTGCTGGCGCACCCCCAGACAGGTCGTGCTCCCCACTTGGGCAACAGGCATGGGGGGCAGGTGGGAGTGCTGGTTTCCCCCCATGTGAGTGCTAGCCGGGGAGTGGGAGTGCTGGATGAAGTGCTGTTGTCACTTCTGGGAGCACCACAGCCACTTCCTGGTTGGCATGATTGCCTGCAGAGGGACCTCTCCCCCCTCTCCCCTCCCCCCTGTTGGCGAGATTGATTGTGGGGGGACCCCCCCCAACCCTGGTCGCTGACTAAGGTGGCACCAGTCATTCGTGCAGGGAGGTGATACTTCCCCTCTATGCAGCACTGGTGAGGCTGCAGCTGGAGTACTGTGTTCAGTTTTGGGCAGCGTACTTCAAGAGGGATGTGTATAACTTTGAGAGGGTCTGGAGGAGGGCCACTTGTATGGTTAGGGGCCTGTAGGTAAGGCCTTACAAGGAGAGATTGAGGGACCTGAATCTCTTTAGCCTCTGCAAGAGAAGGCTGAGAGGTGATCCTGTCGCTGCTTACAAATTCATCTGGGGTGGGGACAGCAAGTGATAGGAGATGCTCTGTTTACCAGGGCACCCCTTGGAGTAACCTCTTGGAGTAATGGCCTCAGACTGACAGAGAGCAGATTTAGGTTAGACATCAGGAAGAACTTCTTTATGGTAAGCATTGCCAGAATCTGGAATGGGCTTCCTGGGGAGGTGGTGCTCTCCCCTACCTTGGGTGTCTTCAAGAGGAGACTGGACAAGCAACTGGCTGGGGTCATCTGACCGCAGCACTCTTTTTCTGCCTGGGGCAGGGGGTCGGACTCAATGATCTGCTAAGGCCCCTTCTGACCCTAATATCTATGAATCAAGCAAAAACATTTCCCTCCTTTCTCCACCCCTCCTTTCACGTGATAAAGGCAAAGGAGGAAGCGGAGTATGGTTCAAAGCTGAGGTTTTCAGAGCTAACCTCACCCTTCCTGTAAAGGGTAATTACTTAAGTGCAAAGAGGAAAAGAAAGAAAACTGTGACTAGAAATGTAATTCTGTCTCCTTGCTAAAGGAATAAAACATTTTCCCCTATTCACTTGTGACACAGTGAATGAACTGTAGCCTGAAGGAGTGCAACAAAAACAGAGGAGTTTGCTGTTTTGTATTTAGTCAAAGAATTATTTTTGCAAAACAATATGAAACCACAGCCAGGCACTATCAATGAATAAATGTTTGTAAAGCAACATGGTATGGTTAAAACAACAGGCTAAAAGCTGCCAAAAATTCCTGAATGTTAATAATCCAGATTGTTGGTATCTACAACGTGTGGCTGTGCATGTGCCCTGGGATCCTGGTGTTTCAGTTTAAAAACAAAAGATAAGCGGCTTGTGGCTTGTGATTTGACTGCTTCTGCTAAGAGCTCTAAATCACCAATAGAAAAAATATTGCTTGGGTATTATTGTGCTTAATATTGCAATGCATTAATATGTGATTGAAATAAACTAATTGTGGCTAATGTATGGCTTTATCATAAAATGATCTTGTATCAGTTTTGTGTTGGTAAGGGGGAAAAAAATCCCTTTTTTGATATTCCAGAAAAGAAGTTGGTGTCTGTTGCCTGAGGTGTCCCAAAATTTGGGCATCTTTGGAAGTTCTGAAGTTCATGTTCCTGCTAATGCATTTTGTGAAAGATTAGAGACTGAATTTGTTCTCATCTAGAGAACAGGAAACTCTGTTTTTACACTATTATTTTGCTTTGGATGGGGAGGGGGATGGAAGAAAAGGGCTTCCTAGACTTAAAGGCAGATTTAAAATTTATTGAGGCCCTAAGCAAACGAAAATTGAAGCTCCTCACCAGGTGAGGGCAGGTTCCCTCTGCAGCCACTAGGGGGCTGCAGTTGGGCTCTCCCGGTCTCCTTAGCACACCAAGGTGAGCCAGAGGGCGTGAGGGCTGCAGAGGTGAAGGCCGCTCTTGCCCCGCCCCAGCTCAGCTCCTCTGCCCGGTGGGTGTTGTGCAGCCGGGGCTGTGGCCTCCCAGGGCTGGGGCTGAGCTGGGGGGAATGGGCTCTGCACTGCTCCCAGCTGCCTGCTTGCCCCTCTGCCAACCCCAGCAGGGTAGGGCTGTCCCTTCCCATCCTGTCCCAATGGTGCTGGTGCTGGCAGCTGTCTGTAGATGGCCGAACAGGAGTGGGATTGGGGCAGCCCATGGGGCCTGCTGGCAACAGACAGCCCCAGGAAGCTGCCACCACACACATGAAGCCCTGCGCCCACCTCCTATCCTTTGGCCCTGGGCCAGTGGGAAAGGAGGAGTCATGCGCTGTCTGCCCTGGATGCCGGTGGCCAGGATGCCTGCCTAGGCCATGCTGCCCTTGGTGCCCTGATTAGCAGGGGCCCCTGGGCCCATGCATTAATCTGCCCTTTCCCAGAGTTATGAATGTCCTAAACCCTCCTAACCTGGACTGATGCTTGGATTGAGGGAACCAAGTTTCTGGCCTCATAAAAGTTCTTCTGGCAGCTTTCTGCCCATGGCTTGTGCTGGGGATTTGATCTTGGAGGGGAGTTGACTAAAGATAATGATGTGGTTTGACATCCCAACCTGCAAACTAATCCCTGTAGTGCACCTGTGGGAATGCCTTTGAGAGTCTTGTGGGGAAGGGAGCAGAGATAATAAGGAGGAACATGTCTCCAGAGCTGGGCTGCTTATTTCCAACCAATTATAAACAAAAAGCAATTGGAACCAGTGGCCTTCTATGGCTTTGCCATACCTCCTCCTGGATTTTTGATTGTTTCAAACCTGCCATGTCATTTGTGAATGATTAGGTGTCTTCTGCTCTAAACAAGCAACAAACATAGGGTTGGTTTTAATCATACAGTGCTTTAAACGTTTACAAGTTGTGGAAGATTTTAGTACATGATTTCAAGACACAGCAAGCACCATTGAAAACTGCTAATTTGAGGTTTGAGCTGCATCTGAAAGAAATGTTGAATGCTCCCTTGACTTTGTGTCAGGTGTACAGTGCCAGATGGACCTGACCCTTTAGTTTTAAATTGTGACCCTTTAGTTTTAAATTGTGAAAAATAAATTTATTTTTCAGGTCCAAAGCCAGTTGTATTTTTGCAACATGGTTTGCTTGCAGACGGCAGTAACTGGATCACAAACTTGGACTACAACAGTCTGGGCTTTATGCTAGCAGATGCTGGCTTTGATGTTTGGTTGGGAAACAGCAGAGGAAACACCTGGTCCAGAAAGCACAAACACTACACAGTGAATGAAGATGAATTCTGGGTTTTCAGGTAACCTGGTCTGTATAGAAAAACTTAATGATCAGTGTTTTCTTGTAATAATTAAATGTATAGGCTGTTATTAAGGCCTCCAACTTTCTCCGATGGTACCACTGCTTCAGGCCGGAAATAGATGAAACAAGATCTGTCTGTAGGAAGTTCTTTTTCTGGCTTTATGTGTTGCCAAATATTTAGTAACATGGGGAAATTTAAGTTTGGATAATGGCCTGATCCTGCCTTAATTGAATAGATAAGAAAACTAATTAATTTCAGCAGGGCCAACTCAAATTCTAAGTAAAAGTTTCTAACTATTTAAGGTTCAGAGTTTGTCTTTCTGATTCATGAATTGCAAGTTTTGGTTTATTCTTAGGTGACTAGCGTGCATTACACCCTTAACTTTATGTATTTATATAGCCAATTTGTTGTCTTGTCTTTGCAGTTATGATGAAATGGCAAAATATGATCTTCCAGCCTCTATAAATTTTATTGAGAAGAAAACTGAGCAGAAGAAAATATATTATGTTGGCCATTCACAGGGCACAACTATGGGTATGTGAAAAGATGTTTTAATTCAAATATATTTGTTCTAAAGGATCTAGATTTTCACACATGGATAAATGATGATTAAACATAGTCTTATTAATATTAATAACATTACTTCTGCTTGAATGCTGTTTTCATAGTTTTTACGAGTTATAAAAGGCTAGAGTATTTATTTAAAATCATAGAATTATAGCAAATTAAGGTGGAAAAGGGACATCAGGAGGTCATCTAGTCCAATCCCCTGCTCAAAGCAGGATCATTCCCAACTATATTATCCCAACCAACAGTTTGTCTAACCAGGTCTTAAAAACTTCCAAGAATGGAGATTCCACAACCTCTCTGGATAATCTATTTCAGTGCTTTACAATCCTCCTAGTGAGAGACATTTTCCTAATATCTAACCTAAATTTTACTTACTGCAACTTGAGACCATTGCTTCTTGCTCTACCACCACTGAAAACAGTTTAGCTCCATCCCCTTTGGAACCACCCTTCAGCTGGTTGAAGGCTGCTATTAAATCCCTTCTTGGTCTTCTTTTCTCTACACTAAATAAACCCAGCTTCCTCATCCAGGCCATTAACCATTTTCATTGCTCTCTGCTGGACTCTTTCTAATGTGTCTACAACCTGTCTGTAGTAGATGCCCCAAAACTGGACACAGTACTCCAGATGTGGCCTCACCAGTGCTGAATAGAGGGAAAGAATCGCTTCCTTCAATCTGCTGGCAATGCTCTTACTAATGAAGCCCAGTTGTGAAAAAGTCTGTTAGCCTTTTTCACAGTAAGGACAGCCTGTTGGCTCATGTTCAGCTTATTGTTCATTGTAACCCACTGGTCATCTTTTGCCGAGCTGCTGCTTAGCCAGTCAGCCCCCAGACTGTACTGTTACATGAGATCGTTCCATCTTAAATGCAGGATTTTGCACTTGTCCTTATTTTGAACCTCATGAGATTTCTTTTGGTTCAATCCTCCAGTTAGTCTAGGTCTCTCTCAATCCTAGCCATACCCTCTAGTTTATGCACTATCTCCCCAGCTTGGTGCTATTTGCACACTTTCTGAGAGTGCACTCCATCCCATCTTCCAGGTTGTTGATAAAGATATTAAACAAAACTGGCTCCAGGACTGATCTCTGGGGACTTGAGACTTGCTGGCACCTAGACATTTGCATTAGCCACTGTTTACTACCCTCTGAGCTTGATGATCCAGCCAGTTTTTTTATCCATCTTACTGTCCATTCATCCAACCTGTACCACCTTAGCTTGCATGTGAGAATGTTGTGGGAGACTGTATCAAAAGCCTTACTAAAGTCAAGGTATATTATGCCCCCTGGTCTCCCTGCATCCACAGAGCCAGTCATCTTATTATAGAAGGCAGTCAGGTTGGGCATGACTTGCCCTTGGTGAATCCATGCTGACTGTTCCTAATCACTTTATTTTCCTCCAAGTGCATGGAAATGGATTCTTTGAGGATCTGCTCCATGATTTTTTCCAGGGACTGAGGTGAGGCTGACTGGTCTGTAGTTCT